TAATCTGAACTCCTCTCACAATGACTGCAGCCTGACTCTGTTTCCACAAGATGGGAAGACTTTGCTGTTTAGTGATCACATGAGTGGTGTTTACTTTCTGACGTGTGATCTTATACTGAAATAAAACTGTTGTGAGTGTGCTCTACGGCCCATTTTCTTCATTTACGCTGCAACACTTGAGCAATTCTTACAAAGTTCAAGAGAAAAAAGGCCCTGCGTGTTAAAACAAATCCCAAAAAGTGCTCATTTTTCAAAAAACAAATCAAACTTCATGTGTAACAGATAAGATGTGAATTTGAACTGCTTTTAATATTTGAAACATTAAAATCTTGTTTTCTTTGAAACTATTGATGAGAAGTAGAATTCATGATGTTGCTGAACAATTAGGAAACAGAAAGCTGTCCAGGTAAACAATTATAGGTTAAAAAAAACCAAACAAGTGTTTTATTTCTGGTTTTAGTTAAAAAATAACAAAAGAAATAAATGTAAAAAGTAAAAAGTAAATTCAAACCGTTGTGTTTAAAAACAGTGGTGGGAGTTCAGCCAATTCCAGGTTCCATGCTCCAGCTGGAGTCCCCTGCCCTTGAGACTGCAATGATCATTTGTGCCCCCCACCCCGCTCCAGACTGAAGACCCCMCAATGATCCTGCTTCAGACTGTAACACCCACCGTGAACAAGCGGGATTGGAACCAGCACACAGTGAAGTGAAGAGGGCTTAGGGCATTTTGTCCAATGGCTGCTCTGCAGGGCAGACAGAGGATCCCTGATGTTTGGAGAAATCCAGATTCTTCTCTGCTGTACTTCCTTTCTTTGTTTTTCCCTCTAATTTGTTTTCCACGTGTACTGTGCCTTGACTTTTGCTTTTATAGTTTCATGTTTAAAAGAATGAAAAGACATGTTAAGAGGTAGCCTGGTTAAAACCAGACCCTTGTCCTTCACTTTGCTTTGAGCGGAACTGCGTAGGAAGGCAAGGGCCAGGCTAGTTGAGGTAGACCTACTTGTGTTTATCAGATATGCATGTTAATATTTTAACGTGAAATGTTATAGGGTGCACACGGGTCCTTGAAATCCTTGAAAGTTTATGAATTGGAAAAAATGATTTCAAGGCCCTGGAAAGTTTGTGAAAACAGCCAAAAGTTACACTTGTCCTTAAAAGTCCTTGAATTTTTGATGGGGATTGAAGTTCTCTATTCACACGACTATTTTTCATCATCTGTAAAAAAAATAAATAATCATAATAAAATCAAAAAAATATAACTTACATTTGTTGTGGTGGATAACTCAGGATAAACTGACGTGACTTTCAACAAATAATGTGAGCCATAGTCTTAGTTTTAGCCAATCAGAGCAGAGTAGGGCGGGTCTTTCTTTTTGAGCCCAGGTGAGACCACCACAGCTCCTCCTGTCCTCACCGAGCGTCTGGACATAATGTTCACATCCCCTCCTCCCAAACTGAGCAGCCGAACCTCCCAGGACATAATTACATGTCCATGTATTTTAGATATGAATGCAGGGTATATATTTAATCCACTTTCTTTCATTGATTCTGACTCAACAGCTTCTATATTGTTCAGTTTTTCATTTAATTTACATATTAAATTGTTTATTGGTAACATTCTGTGGTATAAGTAGGTAACTGCTGTTGCACGTGGTTCGTAAATTTGAGGAAATTTGGACTGGAAAGTCCTTGAAAGGTCCTTGAATTTGATTTTGGCCAAGGTGTGGGAACCCTAGTATTTATTCATTTCATTTAAAAAAACAAAATAAAACACATTTCATACAACAAAATAATACAAATCAAATGAAAGGCAGCAGAAAAAAAACCTTAACTTCAGTTCTTGACTTCCTGTTTGAACTTATAAATTTGTGATATCAGTTTCTTTCTGATTTTATTAAAAAGAGGCCCGTGCGGCAGAAGATGGTACCGGTCTGACTGCATTCTGATGTCCAGGTCTGATCTGAATCTGCAGCTCTGACGCAGGCTGGCACCTTCGTTTGATAAATGCTGCTGATAGAAACAGAAGCATCACTCATTATCTTAAGGCAGCCATCTTTTAACATTTAAAACAGTATTCTGCTCAAGAGTTTTTATAAATGTCACCAAGCTGGGTTTCTGCTCTTTGTTTCTGTCACATTTATTGGTTTTAATCCGCTTTGGACTCAAACAACAGCACGAGTTTCCAGTGCAGAGATATTGTGATTTTAATAAAGAAACTCTCTGCAACAATATTTATCTTAAAAAATATTAAAATATCTGTATTCATGGTTATTATCATTTATTTGTGAATGGATTTTATCACCAGATTATTTCATCTAGTAACAGTTTTAAGTTTTATTTATTTACTAAGACATCTATAACATATACAGTATAAGCAATGACAGCACTTATATTTTCTCTTAATTATTAATTCCACTATAACCTAAGAAAAGACACAAGAAAATACTGGAGAGCTTTTCCCCATGTATCACATTTCAGCTGAAATTTTCATTTTTTTCCTGTGATGGACGAGCACAAAGTCTAAAGTTGTTTTGAAGCAGAAGCAAATGACACCTTGTTTTTAAACCTGCAGAAATAAAAATCTGAAACATGTGTTGTTTCTCCTTTACTCTGATACTCTGAGCAACCAGCTACCTTCAGACATCTTTTAATTAGTGAAGAATTCACCTGGGTGTCATTTTGTCTCAACAACAGCAGCTCTGGGGAGAATCTTAGTGACCAGACAGCATCATGAAGACCAAGGAACACAGCAGACAGCTCAGCGATAACAAAATAGATGCCCTTTCCTGCATTTTGGTGTATTTTAACAGGCTATTACTGTAAACATCATTTTTATCTACATAAATAAACACTTGATTTAATAATTATTTCAGAGACACATTCTTCATTAAACTAGTTTCATCATCCTGTTTTTAAACTCACTGCTACAGCTGAGATAAGGTTAACTAATGTGACACAATTTATCATATCTAATGACTTTAGGGGTGCCTTTTACTTTTATATTGTTTATTGATTTATTTTTAACTGTAACACATCATTGTGCCAAATAATGATGACCCTCAGCTGCATGTTTAAAACTAATATTAATAACTTTACCCAATGAACAGGTGCAATGACCACCAACAGTGAATTTAGAAGGGTGTTGCACTTTTTCTGATTTAGAATACGTCTACTCATAACCAAAAGGGACAAAGCATCATGCAGCCTTCATAACATAAAATGACCAAAGAAAAAAAAACATTTGTCACCATAAGTCCAAAAGTTGACACCATAAGTCAGATTACATAGTCGTATGTAATGTGTATAAAGAAAACCATCACTTCCTTCTCATTACTCTTTGTCAGTGATAGAGCTTGGTGATGTTTCAAAATGTTAAACACTGCCACCAACTGTTCAGGAGGATTATTATACCCCTAAAGGCTGTTTCACTGTGTAAGGGGTGTGTACAGCAGGGTGGCCAAAGATTTGTCTGTGGTGGCCATGGCCACCCCTGGCTCCGCCCCTAGCTCTGCCCCTGGCTCTGACTGAACCATATGACTCAGATGTAAAACTGTGGTATAAAACTGAGGATCTGAGTTTATTTTCTGCCATGATTTGTTTATTTCTAGTGTTTTGTGTGCCTGGCCTCTGCGTTCTTTCTCAGCTCCTCCCATGTACCTGATCCTCATGCCTCCCCAGCTGTTTTCAATGGTCTCCTCTTTTACTCACTGTTATTTTCTGTGTCCTGTGCTCCTGTCCTGTCTGTTCACTGTGGTTTGTCTTTGTGACTCTTAAAAGTAAGTTCTACTGGCCTGTCTGTACTTTTTCTTTGTGAAGGTAAATCTTCATTTTTTTTATCTTCAGGTTTCCCCTGCTCCTCAACAAAAGCTAACAGCACATCACCCTGACATAATCCTCACTGGAACATGGTGGAGGCTGCATCATGGTGTGGGGCTGTGTTTCTTCAGCAGGAACAGAGAAGCTGGTCACAGCTGATGTGAAGAAAAGACTTGAGACCAGGAGGCTCCCTCAGTCAGCAGGACAACGACCCAAAAACATCCAGCCGGTAGAATGGATCGTGCACACGTGTGTTAAAATGGACCAGATAAAGTTCAGAACTAGATCTGACTGAGAATCTGTTGAAAAGCCCTGTTCAGACGTTCTCCATCCAAGCTCAGAGATCTGGAGCTGTTTACAAAGAATGGGCAAAGAGACAAAGCCCACAGAACCTGTAGTTGTAGCAGGAAAACTTGTTTCTACAGAGTATTTAAAAAAATGTCACTGATGATTGAGAAACTGAGAAACTAAGAAACTAATATCCAGTTCTGTTTTCTACTGAAGTGGCTATTTAAAAAAATGTTGCATGTTGTTTACACCACAATTTCACTTTTACAGCATGTTTCCACCCATATTTTAAAAAATGATGGTTTCCTAGAAGTTTGTATTACGAGTTCCTTAGTACAGATGTTCATTTAGTGCTTATAAGCATCAAAATAAAATGAAATAAAAATTAGTCTTGTTAAGACAGAAAAGCCTTTTAATAAAACTGGCCACTTTTTAAGTTGGCACTGAAATAACTTGTCCCATCTAATTTCATCTAAAAGTACACATCTGTCTGTAAGACTATTGATTTTAACAGGGTTCACTGTTCTTTTTATCTCTTTATTGCCTCAACAGCGGCGGGGAAAGCGATCTGACTAAACCCCATCTGACATTACGAACTGCAGTAACCCAGGGCTGTCACACGAGCTCTCAGGGTTACGTCACCTGCGCGCCCCGCCTTCTAATCGCCTTATCTCCAAATAAGACACGCCCATCTATTGTGATTGGCTGCAACCTGACGCTGCTACTCTGTGATTGGTTAATGTACATTTCAATCAGATTGCTTTACTTCTGATGACAAACAAACCTTGTCTACTAAAGAAAATAGATTTATATGTATTTATACCCTTTTACTTCATAATATCTCCGTAAATATTTATTTATTTTCGTCTTGAGCCTCTAAAAGTGTGGTATTAGAATGATTTTATGAAGATAAGTCGCCGAATTATATGTTTCTATTTATAATTTGTAAACTCAGATCTTAGTTTTACTCATACTGTCCAGCCTGGCGGACAGAAAGCAGCTAAGATGAGCAGAACCTGTCTGACCCGGAAGAAGCAGAAGCTGGATGAGTTTGAACTGCAGTAACCCGGTCTGAACATCCTCTCAGGCTGCCTCTTTGTGTCGCAGGGGCGGCTAACCGAGCCAAAGCCCTGCCTCTGCTCTCATTGGACCGGGCCGGCAAGAGGCTGTCAGCCCATGTGGCGTGGCCAAGCACGGCACCGCATATTTAAATTCATCCGGTTAAACAAAAAAAAAAAATTAAAAGACGTACAGAGAGGAGGAAGGAGAGCTGAGAGGGTTCCTGAAAACATCACAGGTAAGTTTGACTCTCGTGTTTCCATTTATTTCTGATGACTTTAGGGTTTAGCTGCACAGAGTTTAGTTATAATGATTAATATTTATAATAAATAGCCTGTTCATTTATGCTGACGTACCGAGGCTGGTCCATTTAGAAACTCATAAAAATAAACCTTTTTGATGCCATTCACAAAATACCATGGTTAATTAGAGGCCTAGCATTAGGATGGACTGTGTGTCGCATCAGCTGCATTTCAGTCCACAAACTCAGACTAAGATCATTTAATGTTGAGAAACTATGTTTTGGTCAAGCCTGGGAAATAAATCTCAGAGTATGTGTTGTGAGTAACTCTCAGCTACTACCACACCAAATTTTATAGTTATACATATTTCTGTGTAGGTAATATCAATTAGCTGTGGCATTCATTTTGAATTAAACTGTCTCCAAAAGTTAATCAGTTGTAGACTTGTATCATTACATTTAAAAGTTCCATTAAATTATGTTCAGTGATTCATGAAATATTTTGCTAACAGACCAGGTTGACCAGGTTAATGTGAAGATTCCTACCATCAATCTCACACAATGAGTGATGCCTGGAATATGTTGAGGCTCGGCTACTATCACACCAAATTCTAGCTAAATATGTTAAATCCACTGGTAGAACCAAAAGGTTAATTTTGGTGGTTGTTTGCTGAAAGTTTAATTAATATCTATCCTATGATTTATGAGGTATTTTTACAGACAGACTTGTTACCAAATAGTTATTGGTTATTAGTTTTAAAGGAGGATGCTCTACAAACTGTTAGCTCTCAGGTTGTGATCAGTCTCAGCTACCAAATCTGAGCTCAGTATCTAAGTTGCAGCCATGTTTGTGCTTTTAAGGTTGGTTGACTGGCAGCCATCTTGAATGTGGTTATCAGTAGGGTTTGGCAATATCAGTGTGGTAGAACTAATACTTTATGTTTGAGCAAGTAATTCATGACATCCTTTAATGACCTAGGTTTTCATGACATGCTGTTCACCTGCAGACAGAATGATTAAAGTCAGAACAAGATTTGCTAACAACAGTCATTCTTAGATATCACTTGTGTTTATCTTTGTGTTTTCCATTGACCTTGTATCAAATCTAGCTAAGATGACATTATGGTGTTTGTTAATATATATATGAGGCCTCTGGAGACACAGTGAGTTGTGTGGAGAGACAGAGACAGAGAGAAGCAGAGGCACAGAGACAGGCCAGGTTGGTCTCTGTGTTTCCTGTTGTTGCAATAAAACTCAGCTGATCATCTCACGGAGTACCTTCATTCTTGGACCACGTATTTCTGTCTCTGTTGTTGAATAAATATCACCATTAATCATGATTAATTATGGTATTTAGCTGATAATGATTAATTTTGACGATTAATGCCCTGGAGTCCCAGGACACCCTTATGTCCTGGTGACATGACCAATTTAGTGGGAAAGATTTGCTCTTCGTAAAAATCTGTTCCAAATTGTATCAAAATCACAGACTTCACTGCTTCAAATTTTAATTGTGTTGATAGATAAATAAATTACAGAACATTTTTTAAATGTTTGTCGTAGTTGAAGTGGAGAAGAGCACCGACTAATGCCTGCTGGCATTAGTCGTATTAATCGTCAAGTGCCAAAAAATAATCTATTAATGTTTTTCTGACGATTATTTGCACACGATACGATTATGCCCAACCCTAGTTATCAGTTGTAGACGTACATCCAGTGGTTATGGAGAGTCAGTGTGCGTTCATGGAGAGGTTGTTTAAAAGTCTGGAATATTCAGATCCGTCCAAAGACAGGAGGACACTTTGCTGAGGACCAACATCATATTTAAGACAAATGGTTTGAGAGAGGGTGAATGAAGACATTTACATTAAATGACAACTTCAAACAGAGGAGCAGGTCTCAGATTTCAGCTCTCCAGAACTTCCAGTGATCTTGATACTCGGTCAGTTTCAGTGTAATTCACATCTTCTGACTGAAACATCTGTCTGTGAAACAGGCTAACAAAAAGCCTAACGGCTCTCTGCTCTGAGAGGCGTGGAGCTTAATTCACATGTAAATCTGAGTTACATAACCCAGTTTCAGATCCAGTTTAAGAGCGTAGAACTCCACTCTCCGGTTTAGAACTGAGAAAACTCCCTGGATAGGAGGAGAAAATCCACTTGTTTGATTGAACTTGTTTGGGAGAACTTTGATTCATATTTATTTCAGCAGCAGGTCATGCTGAGTTCATTGGAGATATCTGCATTGCTTTATAGGGTTCAACAAAGTCAAATACTCATCAGTCATCTGCTCTGTTAGCTTAATGGAACATGTTTTAATAAACTAAATGAGTTTAATAAGGTTGTATTGATCAGGGATTATTCATCATCATTGGATGTATGCTGACATCATTTATTTCCTTTATAATTCTGGTCTGTAGCTTAGACTTTGTGCCAGATTTGGACAACTCTAATTACTGGAGGAGGATAAGCACAAACATCTTCCATTGTTTTGATTCAGTGGATCCTTTTTTACAACCCCACACCTGAAAAGTCAGACTGTTGTGAATAAAGTAAATAAAAGTGGAATGCAAAAATTCCCTCACATTTTATTCACAATGGAACATTATAAACACGTCAAATGTTGAAAATCTACCATGTTTTGAAAAAAACAAGGTAACTTTGGCAGCAACACACGCATGAGGCTATAAAAGTCTGTGGTCAAACTAATTCATATTATTGGCAACGTGTCAGTAAAAGTGTGTCTAAACCAGAGGTTCTCAAACTGGGGTCCCAGGACCCCTAAGGGTCCGCAAGCCCTATTTTAGGGGTCCTCAAAAATGTCAATAAATTGTTAATTTGGTTTTCATTTTTAAAAATGCATATGGGGAACAATGCACTGGTAAAACATACATACTAAACTAAAATAATATTCCCATGACATTTAGGCATCGTTGTATAAAGTACCTGAAAGTGATACTTGAACAAAAGTACAAGTATCTTATCATAAAATTACTTTGGTAGAAGTTAAAGTGTCCTCTAATAATATTACTTGAGTAAACGTCTTATCTAATTTATTTTGTACTTAAGTATTAAAAGTAAAAGTATTGAGTAAAAATGAATGTGGTTAGATTTTCCAAAAAACATTTATTGGGAGGTGACCTCTTAAAAATATTTTTTCTAATGGTGTGCAGCTCTGATGAATGATGTACAAACTTGGTACAGTATCAGAATGGTATCTATTTATACTTAAAATCCAACCACAGTTAAATTCATTCTATCCTGGAGCCACAATTTTTCAGGATAGTATTTTTTAACAACAACGAGTCGAAATAAAATAGGAGAAACAAGTTTCTACTTCTTAACTTTTTAAAATATGTAGAAAGTACAGATAATTGTGTGAAAATGTAGGAGTAGAAGTAAAGAGTATGCTGAAAAATAATTAAGTACAGATACCCAAAATTTCTACTTAAGTACATTAACCAAGTATTTGTATTTTATTACATTACAATTATTTTTAAAACAGCATGGTGTTTATGAGGGGGTCCCTGGAAAATTTTCACCCTTGTAGGGTCCCCATACCCCAAATGTTTGATAACCTCTGGTCTAAACATAGTGGAACAATTTCAGGAATCTGAAATTCACTTTGCAAACTATAAACGTCAATTCTTCCTTACCAAAGAGGAGAGGGACCATTCTGCTGGTTACCAGCACACAGTACAAAATCCTGCTTCTCTGTTGGTATGGGGGTGCATCAGTGCTTGTAACAGGCAGCTTACACATATGAAAAGGCTTCAGTAAAGCATATTCAGGATTTGGAACAGACGCCAAACCACTTTCCAGGAAACCACAGAGTATAATTTACCGTATGAGTTTTTAAATGTAGGGAATGTGGAGCTGAAAGTACACACAGCTTTTTCTTTTTCTGCTATAAGAAGTGAAATACATAGTTTCCTTATCATTAATCCTGATTGTCAGGTGTGTATTTTATTGAGCTGGTAGCAGGTTGTGGCACGCAGCACGCTCAGAGTCGGAGCACGGCACCAGTTTGATGGTGTGTTCAGGAACAAGGCTGTTTCTGCTCGGTCATGTGTCACTGTGTGACCTGTTTCTGGTACACTCACATACAGCACTGAAGGTGCTGACCCAAATACCTCCAGGAGCAGAACCACATGGTTCTTCTGCTTGTTTGCTGTGAGATTTTTCACAACTTGTTCCACAGGATTCTATACAGTTTGTGTGTGTACATTTCTGCCTGTGTCCCTTATGTGTAATCAGGTCCTTGAGTTGTTGAACCTGATTTTCAGAACTCTGATGAGCAATTGATGGTTGAACCGACAGAAACTGTTAAAGTACAAACAATATGATCCTAATTTCAAAAGTTATTAATTGGTTTATGATTTGTACCTTTCATGTCTTTAAAATATTGCCTCAAAACAAGTGAATAAAAAAGATCAGGCTAATATAAAATACCAATTATAGTACATGTAGTTGTCATAATTTATCATGGACAAGCAGTACTACTTTTAAAATGTCTCTTTCATTGTAAATTTATTTGTCATATTCGTTTCAGCTGTGACTAAAAAATTACAAAAAAATAAAAAAAATAAATAAATAACAGTATGGGAGCAATATGACCAATGAATATCTTACCTGTTATAGATAGCTCATTGATCAACCTGAACAACATAGACTGGCTAGTCTGAGGGAGTCCAGGGCCAGACACCCACTTCAGATGTTATCAGTCCATTAAATGGACGTTATCAGCGGTTATCAGTCCCATAGAATGGGTTCAGACTGCCAGCTGGTTAATATGAGGCAAAAAGCCACTAAGGTTAATTTTAGAAAAAATTACCTGGGCAAGGTTAAAATAGACCGGAGCACGGCAGACTGTTGCCTTCCAACGTATTAGTAGGTAAACAGTCTGAAGCCATTCTATGGGACTGATAACTGCTGATAACGTCCATTTAATGGACTGATAACATACGAACCGGTTGGACCAGAGTGGATCATCATAAAATGTGTTCACATCAGTCACAGCAGTGAGGCAATCATATTCACATAACACTGCTAGTCCAGCAGAAATATTATGGTATACCAGCGGGACGTTCTAGAGGTGGTTACTGCTGCTTCTCTTGTTAGCACTCAAAAATAAACACAATGTTTATATAAAAAACTATTTAATTCAATCTAAATGTTTCTAAAATAGCATCTAATAAATCACTACGTTTTTATTTTATTAGATTGCAGTTTCTCTTAAAAGCTTGACCTCGTTCTGACTAGCCATTAGCTTGTTAATTTGCTTTAGAGTTAAACTCCAAGATGAGGTCACTGAAAAAGTTATCTACCACAGGTAAGATGTTAATCAATCTTTCAACAGAACCTACTTCTGAAGATTGGACATTTTAGAAACGTGCGTTTGTATATTTCTGGATTTCTTCAGCCTCTGATCTTAGTACTTGTTTCATATAAACACTAATGATAGATTAAGTAGGATTTACAGTGTTTGAATTGTTTAACTGTCTGTTAGCTCAGCTGATATTCCTACTCCACTGAAACCATTCTTTAACACAATGACATTAGCAAATCTGTGCTCACACATTACTAATATGAGGAAACCTTTGTTCCAGCAAATGTCCTTTTGTTCTACCGCTTGTGAGTTCCACATAAAGCCCAGCCTCAGCACAGGACCCCCACTGTGAAGAACATTCAGTAATTAAACTGCCTGCACTGATTCTGTCAGTTAGTTTTATGTTACAAAGCTGCTCCCCCTCTCTGTCTCTCTTTATAGTTATTAAGAATGGAAGACGTAGTCATAGCTGGGATTTCGGGCCGTTTGCCAGAATCGGACAGCCTGGAGGAGTTCTGGGAGAACCTCATCAATGGTGTGGACATGGTGACAGAAGACGACCGGCGGTGGACACCAGGTTGGACATACAGAACACAGAATCATGGTTTTGAGTAATGGTCAATTGACCTTTCATTTTCCAGTGTTTCCCCTACCATTATACAGGCGGGATGCCCCCCCCCCCACCCCCCAACGAGATGG